GGGGGGGGGGGGGAGAGGAGCTCGGCTCTGCGGAGGATTCGGTAGACTAGAGATAAATAACAAGAGACGAGATTTTTTTTTTTATGTATAATTCACCAGACAATGTTTATTCAGACGACCTCACAACTCCCAAGCGTACAAAATGACGTGCTCACTGGGCAATATGCGGGGCTGCATTTGTATTCTTGCATGTAGTAGAGTACGTTTTATCCATATTTTTTCGTTTTTTTCCACCAGAAACAACAGCTGTTTGTATTCTCCTTCTTAATGGATAGGGAAATATATCATATTTTATGTATCGTTTACTATAATAATCATTATGTGTAGTTTATGCATAACAAGTATTACGAATATCAACGCTAGGTTGTCTGCGGGGAAAGGGACAAGACAAGTGTTCGTACAGTGTGTATGTGTGCAAAAGATGTGTGCGCTGTCGTATGTGTATGTGTGTGTGTGTGTGTGTGTATGGGCGCATGTGTGCGTAGGTGTCTGATGTACGTGTCTGTATCTTGTAAGGACAGCCAGAAAAGGATTCTACGAGGGTTCGCTCGGACAAACAGGTGGACGCGCGACACACGCGACACGGCGAAGGAGATGCGTTTTAGATACAATAAATACAAGAGAGGCTTCTAAGCTGGGTGTGTGTTTAGGGATACTTGGGGCTGGAGCTAATACTCCGCAGCTCCGGGAGGCTGAATGTGCTTTCTTCAACGACTCGTTCCAAGTCCGGGGCTAGATTCCCTTTTAATCCGACCGAATTTCTCATCATGACTCGCCAACGGAGCCGGCACGCGAGAGTGTGTATCGACTTGGTTGACGCGAGAGCTCCTTTCGAGCCGAACCGACTTAAAGGGGGGGGGATCTAGTCCGCGTCGGAAGGAGGCCGTAAATGTTCCTGCGACTGTTTCATGAACGGAGTTTGCTCGCTCGCAACTCAGTTTGGATTTGTGTGTATGTGTCTCTCTGTTTCCGTGTGTTGCGGGTGTGTACGCGTGTTTTTTTTCAATGCGATATTCATGCTGGGGTTGGGACGTGGGGTGATATCGGGGTAATTGGGGGTGGTTAGGGCTGGGATAGTACGGGGGCGGGCGTCTCAACAACACGTCAGCAGCGGCCCGCCGCGTATCTTCTAACTTTCCCTCGAGATTTTTTCGAAGCAGAAGAGTTTCATTCGCGCCTACCAGGACATAGTCTTACGAATCTACTATTTACACTGCGCTTCGCCGTTCTATCGGAGCTCCGCTTTGCTCGAATGCTTCGCGGTTTCTTTCTGTCTCTCTCTCTCTCTCTCTTTCTGCCTCCCTCTTTCGTATACTCTCTCTCTCTCTCTCTTTTTTTCCTCCTGCATTTTTTTTCTTTTTTCCCTTTCCTTCCCTTCTGATCTCGCTTTCTCTCTCGCGACTCTGTTCTCGAGCTATCCGTCCGACTTTCATGCATGCACACACGACACATAATATTGTATAACGCGTTTAAGCGGGCCTACGATACCTATATCTCGCTATACGGCGCGATTAAAGGATATAATTACTTCGCGAGTCGTTTCCCCGACGAAGAGAGAGACACGACACGTAGTATAAAGGTACGGTAATTGCAAACTGGTGGCCCGCGGCGGGCCGATCAGTCTCATAACAAAACGCTTAAATGTTGAAAATCGCGTGCGCGATTCCGTTTCTCGGTTGCCACCGCGATTCGAGAAGCTTTTCGATTTGCCCCGATTCATTTGCACAAGCACGCTCACTCGTCCACTCGCACGATCTATCTTATTTTCTCGCGTTCTTTCGGTATACTTCCCTATCTCTCTCTCTCTCTCTCTCTCTCTCTTTCTCTCTCGCACTCTCACGCTCTCTTTCGTCATTCATACAAGAGTGTCACACGCGTCTCCATCTACACACGTACACGAAATGATAATTTGTTACGGTTATGTGATACCTCTTACACATATTACAATAATATTAATTAGTTTTATAATATTCAATAATTATATATAATAGAGTACAGATGATCGATGAATGAGGTGGAGACTGTACAGGATGCGCGATTTCCATGATTATCACATGTAGATAGATTATTAATTTCTGTAACACTCAACCTTTCGTTTTTATTTTTCCGTCGCGGATGCTCTATCTTCTAGATGTACACCTAGAGCAGATAGGTTTTTTTTTTTTTAGGTAGGTAGACAGGTAGATAGGTAGTTTTAGGTGGATCGCTGGCTCCCCTACGCGGCACGGCACTCGTCGCGCGCGCGAGCGTCCGATATATTCTCCGTGTGTCCCGTTGCTTATTCTTGCCGTTCTTTCTCCCTTTCTCTCGCACACTCGGGAGAAGCAACTCAACGCCGCCACTCAACGCGTCTGTCTGTCTTCCTCGTGAATATTACACGGAGGCTTATAGTGTCTCGTTTGTCTCCCTCCGTAACCTCCACCTCCTTGTGCTCCTCTCGGGCGCGATTAGCGATTAGCGCGGTTTTTTTTTTTTAAATTAATAAATTATTTGGTTTGTCACGCGCTCTGAGCGTCCTGGCACTTTCGTATTTATAGTCGAGGGGCCGGGAAAGGTTGTACCGCGTTACTGCCGGAGCGAGAGTCCGCCGGCCTTGTGATAGGTGGATCATCGATCGAACGTTCCGATTTCCACGCGTCACGGGAGATCACTCGAGCACGCGAGAACACTACGCCTCGAGGGAGAGAGCCTTGCATGGTCCGACCAACGGTCTAGGTGATGGCGATGGCGACGGCGACTTCTTCGAAAGGTTCAACGGTTGCTGGCTGTCCGCGATGTCGACCTGCAGTTCCATCATGTTGCTGGGGCAACCGGCCAGCACCAGCGTGGCCGCCGTACTCGAGGTCGGCCTCGGACTCGTGCTCGTACTACTGGTCGCCGCCGCGGAGAGATACCTCGGCGACGAGGCCGGCGAATTCCCAACAGCGAGGTAGTCCGAGGAAGACTGCTGCTGCTGTTGTTGCTGCTGCTGCTGCTGCTGTTGCTGCTGTTGTTGCTGTTGTCGCGCACCCGTCGTTGTCGTGATGACCGAGGTGGCTGGCCACCTAGTCGAGTAGCTCGTGGTGGCGCATTGCAAGAGGCCCTGAGATCCTTGCATCGAGCGCGCTGTCACGGTGGTGGTCGACGCGCACTGTTCCGCGGGCGACGGCGAGGCCGTCGGTGATCTAGGACTAGCCTCACCGTGCATTATGAAGTTGTGTATGATATCCGTGCGTTTCAATTGTTCCGGCGTCATCCGCGGACCCTCCATCAGGCTCCTCGCGAGGGTGGAATGCGTGCTGCTGAGTAAACTCGTGGTCTGCTGGCATTGCACTTGTGCCGTTTGCGTGGTGGGTGGACTTCGCGCAGGTGGTGAAGTCAGGTGCAGGTGCAGCTGTGACTGCGTGTGCTGGACCACCACAGCCGGTTCGGCCTCGGCACTGTCCTTCTGGCGTAGAGCGCGGAATTTCTTGTGAGGTTTGTAAGCCTCGTCCATCAGCGAGTTGGTGTCGTACAACGGTGGCGCCTGTAACACGCGCTTCAGCACCGGCATGTCCTCGACTTCCTTGTCTTCCGAGCGCGGACTCGAGCATACAGAGGTAGGTGCGCTGCTGGCGCTGCTACTGGCCGGTTTGTCTGGTTTCTCAGTACCGGACTCGATTCCGCTGTCGCTTGGCGAATCCAACTTGCGGAATCGCGGACACTGCGGCGGCTGAGGTGTCTTGGACATGGCGGAGCGATGGAGCTCGTCGTCACCAGAGCTGGTGCTGCCCGAATTGGCCCGTCGTCTATGCGGACACAGTCCACCGGCCAGAGTAGCGGCCAGGAGAGGCGCGCTGGACGCGTGATGACTGCTGGGTGGCGCGACGTGGTGGTACTCCGTCAAGGAGGCGACCTCGCCGCTGCAGGTGCTCTCGGTGCTTGAGACGCTACCCAGTGGACTCTTCACGGCCTCGTCCAGAGTCACGTCCGAAGCGGAGCTCCAAGAGGCCGGCGGCTCCTCCTCCATTGGCCAATGTGGCTGTTGCTGCTGAGCGGTGATGACGTGCTGCGTTTGTTGCTGCTGTTGTTGTTGCTGCTGCTGCTGCTGCTGATGCTGTTGCTGAGCTTGCAACTGCTGTTGTTGCTCGGTCATCTTGAAAGCCAACAGTTTTTCCGAGTGGAGAGTATTCAAAGTTCTTAAGTCGGGTATCTTCTTCAACAATTCCCGTAGGATATCAGGATGCTGGGGATGGTTCTGCGCCAGTACCGTCTGCAGGGCGTTTCGCAGTTTGTTATGCATGCGTTCGACCAGGTCGGTGTTGCGAAGCCCGGGTCTGTCGGCAGCGATCACCACCACCGAGCAGAACAGTCCCAATTCTGCGTCGGAGAGTCCCAACGAGTTGACCCTCTCGGCGAAATCGAACATCGAGTCCATTAGGAAACGCGCGTTACTACTATTATGGATGGACTCGCGTTTGAGCACTTGACCGTTCAAGCAAATCATGCTGTTCGTTTGAGCGTCGAACATGCAGGCCAGTCGTACGAGCAGCACCTCGAACACACCCGCCTTCAGTAGAGTGACCTGGTCGTCCTGAGCCAGCAGGCTGAAACCAGGTATACGTTTCGCGAACTCCACGACACCGCGTATGGCCGGCGAGAACCTCTTGGAGAAGTCTTGGAGCAACTCTTGCTGGCCGGTCAACGGCTGCGGATTAGGATTCAAGGGGCATGCCTGTAACAGAAGAAACGACATCCCGAGGTCAGGAGGCGACGAATCGTTAAACCGCGTCGAAGGTCGCCCACGTCGCCGTCGCTAGTCGGAAGAGCGTACCAGGCGTCCTCGCGAGACGAGGTGAGGCGAGGCGAGACGACACGAAACGAGACGATGCGCGGCAAGACGAGGCGAGACGAGACGAGACGAGACGGGAGGAGGAGAAGACAAGACGTTTACGCGGGTCTCGCTTCCTCCTTCGCGGCAGCCGAGGTCGCCTGGTTCTCGCGCGCGATTTCCGCGTGGAACGCTCGAAAGATCAAGACGGCCCAAGGCCCACGGAGATATTGACGTCAGCGTAGATACCGCCTCTCTTAAAATCTCAAAGCGCGACACGAAACCCGCTTGCGTAACCCGCCAATGTCAAGAGGAAAGGTCGAGCGTACTCACCAAGGTCGGTGGACACGCGGTGTAGTTTGGAGTCTCGCGAGCTCTGGCGAGGATCGGGGCGACTTTGTCCCTGGTGAAGTCGCATGTGTCGAGGTGGGCCCGCACGACGGTCGCGAGCAGGCGTTGCTCGTTCTCCAGCTCGGCCGCTACCGCCTTTTCTTGAGAACGACTGTGGGAGCTCTGCTGCATGGCAGCCAGAATCCTGGCCTTCTCGCGTTTGGGCACGCGGCCGAATCGCACCGCTGTAATCAGAAACGGATGGGATTGAGGGTTAGAGAAGCAGCTTCGTTTCTCTACGCGACGCATACATATACGCAGTGAGCGCGCGCGAGCGAGAAAGGAAGGACGACGATAAATAGTTAATGCGATCAATGGGTGAATCATGCAACGGACCCGGCCGTCGCTATCGCGAGATGACCTTCGCGCGCGAACCAACGTCGCGCGGGACACTCGCGTGATGCCCGAGCGAGAGAGCCAAGAGAAGGAAACGCGCGCGTCGCACGGTAAAACCTTCAGCGTGCGGAGAGTACATCGCCACGTCTCGGGTATATGATTTCGCGCCAAAGGTGGAAAAAAAGTCAGAGGGGAAAGCGCACGACTTTCTCGCGGCGAGCGCGCGCGCGCGCGCGAGCGAGCGAGCGAGCGAGCGAGAGATGAAAGTTCCGCGCATGCTGTGTACGAATCTTCGGTTAGAAAGTGCACCGCTGGTTTCAAGGTGTTATGTCGTTTTGTCTGTCACGTCCCGCTCGAGGGAGGAGGAGCAGGAGGAGGAAGAGAGGACACCTACGTGCATTGTGATAGTTGACTACTCCGTTGAGGATCCCTTTTAGTATCGGCAACTCGTCTCCCATGACGGTTCAGGGAAACAAACGCGACTCGCTCAAGTCCCAGTGGTCGTGCTGATTTCGACCAGATCGCGATTACACTTTCACGCACGTGTGTGTGTGTGTGTGTGTGTGTGTGTGTATGTAGCAACTTGTTCCGTCTGACACTGAATCACTACTGCCCGCGCGCCACGGAGGAGGCGGCGAGCGAAGCCTCCTCGACACTTCGCGCCACGTTCCCGACTAACAACGCCTCGTACGATTCACTCGGCTGACTCGAGTCCCCGCGAGTCACTCCAAGTGGTGATCGCGCGGCGGGACGGCGCGTGCTGCGAGAGAGAGACCGCTCCGACTTTGAAGTACAAGCGCGACGGTGAAACGCGTGCAGACACGAGACAGCATCACCGCCGACTGAGTGATGTTCCGCGGGTTGCGTTCAACAGCCCCTCCACTTATTCAGCCATCAACGACCCCCACCATCGCGCGCGATTGTGGCCTTTGCCGAGCCTTTGGCCTTGAACTTGGTTTCAGCGACAGCCGCACGCGGCGTACCGCCGACCTATATACACTATATAGCGAGCAAATGTACGCGTCGAGAGCGTAGAGCCCGACCCTGAAGAGCGAGGGAGATAGTCAGATCTCTCTTCTATGCGCAGATGCGAGCTTCCTTTGTCGGGGGTAACTTACCCTCGGCGACCTTGGGCAACCCCTCGCTGGCTACCTGCCCTGTCACCAGCTGTCGATAGCCGGCTTATCTATTTGCGGACTCTATCGATCTTTAACGTTGAAAACGCGTCGACCCTAAACGACTAAGGCGAACTGTCGCCTCTGTCCGATTATCATTCCCGAGTCCCTTCGAAGATAATACTGTAGCACGATTTACGACTTATCCGACGCGTATACGATCACGCAAGCCGACGTGTTTTACCGAACAGTTATCACATTTCAATTCGACCGAATAATAGACGGAGGGATACTGTTAGTACCCTAGAGGGGAAACGCGTAGGCGGACGTAGCGAGTCAACGAAGAGTACGAAAAGGTTGAGGGCGTTGAGGGCCGGGAGCGCGGTCTCGATATCTTCTTAGGCTTCCAAATTTGTCGATTCTCCCTCAACCTTACTCGGACTCCCGGTCGATTCGTCGAGTGCAAATGAAAGTGACGAACGCGCCCGGTCATGACGATGACGACGACAATAACAACGACGACAACGACAACGATGACGACGACAACGACGAGTTGGCCGCAGCAGCGCGAAGCGCTGTGACCAGTTGGTCACGTACAACTTTGGTCAGACGCCGCGACGGGAGCATGCGCCTACCAGCCAGGTGGATCCATGGTGTAGGTGGGGAGACCACCTCCGTGGAGAGGTACGGTGAGGAAGGGGAATGTAGTTATGAAGCAAAGTTCGCGAGGTCTCCGCATAGAGTGTAGCGCCACGCGACGGTGCGCCATCGCCGTCGCTGTCGGTGGTCGGTGGGGACGGAGCGTTTCACGAAGAAGCCGAAGAAGCCGAGCGACGACGACGGGGTCGCGAGGTGGGGAAAGAGAGAGGGAGAGAGAAAGAGAGGGAGAGAGAGAGAGAGAGAGAGAGAGAGAGAGAGAGAGAGAGAGAAACGCGGGACTCTAATATCGATACGCCGCAAATTCCATTCACCACCACACGGAAACGCGCACGTATGCGCCGCACACTCACACGCGCGCCACTTCGAATTAGAATTAACGCGCTCGTACGTTTAGGAAATCCCACGGTAGCTGACCTAGCTGCTAAGCTAACCATAAACCCCAATTACATGTATAAAATGTACACATACGTATACTAATGCAAACGCGGCGCGCGCATTTATACGAGTGCATATACATAGCAAGGCAGGTGTAACCGACTGCGCGAGTCGGTTTTGGCTCAGCGTTAAGTCTGAAGCACACGGGGATATGAGCCGGGGATCCCTGCTCGTGCAAATCTCTCGGATCCTGCGTAAAATCTAATGAACGGTGGGCGATCCGAGCGACGTTGATATCCGACATTTACGTGACATGTGGGATCCTGACTCATGATAATTCATGAGCGCGTTGAAAACTAAAAGACGCAAAAATATTCGCGTGTGACGAAAAAAGATTCTGTTAAAAGAGAATCTCTCTCTCTCTCTCTCTCTCTCTCTCTCTCTCTCTCTCTCTCTCTCTCTCTTTCTCGTTTTCAAATGGGTCAAGGAATTCTCGGATGAAAGGATTGACGAATAGTTCCGGGACACTTCGTACACGTAGCCGGCGAAGGTAATGCTAACAAAGCGCACGGCATAAATTTGCACAGCTACAAAGAACGACTG